TACACGCCGACCTGTCAATTCCAGTTAAGAACAGCAAAGCATAAAGACACATTTTAAGATTCATACACTCATCTTCTAATTATTAGAAGAGAAGATGTGTTGTGTTTTCTCTTATAACTGGATGTGCAAAGAGATGTGTCAGGCTGGTGGCTGAACTGTTCAGCAAGGAACAAACCCCCTCTGTGCCTGTAGCCACACAGGCTCTGCTGGGCAAGGAAAACGGGACCTGGCATCACAGGTGTCGCGTAAGATGTGCCCATCTTTCAAGAAGGTCAAGAGACTATTGTCAGACAGCAGGTTTTCATTTTCCTAACTTGTCCTGGGTAACTGATCAGAACCTGAAAGGAAACCCCTTTCTCTTAGTTCAGTTGCGCTGAAGCAAGTACTTCACAGACCTGAAATAACAAGATGTTCCACGCTGGCAAACACCAACATCACCACAGCAGCTGTTTTGGATACACACAGAGCAGCAGCTTGCCTCAAGCAGTTGTTTAATATATATTTACTACAACTATTCTTCATTGCTCAAGAATACAGCAAAATAATAACTGTCACCACACAAGTATGATGTTTGATTCAAACTCTGTGTGCGAGTTCTCGTATTACACACACACACACCTCGTAACACACAATATGGACGTAAGTCTGAACTGGTTCATAGAGACACATTTCAAAAAGACCTTTAGCAATTAATCACTGAGCAAAAGAAAAGTTGTGCAACATCTTACTAGAGGTTTAAAGGCTACAAGTGCAACCAAAAAGGACAAGAAATAAAAAAGGTTTTAGTTTGAAAGAACTGAAAAGGGCTGATCTTCAGGTGAGTGTTCCTGTTCCCCTGGATCACGATCAGTGACAATGCAGAAGAAAACAAGCAAACAAACAAACAAACAACTCACATGAATTTACACAACTCACTGACAAACTCATAATGTCAGACTTTTGCGAGTAGAGGAAAGCCTTTTCTTCTACAGATTGCCAAAAAAGACAGAAAACACACAGGCTCATCTGTACCCACCAGAGAGGAGAGACGTTTGCAACAAGCTGTGACTTTGTAACACTCTCAACTTAAACAAATCCCTAAGTAAATGAATCTCTCAAAAAGAAATGGGTCACCCAGAAGCTCTACCTGTGTACACACTTGTGCTCAAGAATGGCACGCAGTGAAGACTGTTCCACCATTCTTTTGTTTACAAGGGAGCTCTGCTTCTCCTGCTGTCCCCCTTCTCACCAAATAGTGCACCAGCCTCCACAAGGACAGCCGTTCCCTGGGGTATAAGCCACTAAAAGGCTTATTGATAGCACAATTCTAACGATTTTCATCTTTCAGAAAATACTTGCTAAGATTATTCAGAAAAAGGAGGGGCATAAGGGAAAAGGGAATGACTGTGAGCAGACACCTTCCACGTAGCAAAGAACTACAGAATTTAATTTTATAAAAGAAAAAATACATTAATTACTCAGCTATGCTACTTTAGCTAGAGCCACCTGCAAAGATCCAGGTGAAAGGAACTTTTTCAAAGAGCTGTTACTTTATATGTCATTGAAAAAAGTTTTATTACAAACACTACAACAGACTTATCTGCACAGGAAATAAATTTGGTTTTGCTTTCTTGTGTTGCCCCATACGTTCCACTTCCCTTTGCTGCACAGGCAGTGATCACTGGCAGCCCAGCGACGCTTCAGAAACCCCACAGAGAAGCTGATGAATTTTTAGCACGGAGTCAGGGCAGCCATGAGGAGTTCCATTTTATACACAAAGTTACGCCCTTCCATTTTATTCCACTGCACCTCCTTGAACGGCCCACGAAGATGATTCCACTTGTTGTCCTGCAGGACATCACCTTTGGGGAGATCCTTGCACTGACTCCGTGGAAACTGAACCATAACTTTGCTGCCGCTCTCCGGACCATTACGTACTGCGAGGAACAGAGATCTGGATGAGCATTTTTACACTGTAGGAATCCCTGATACTAAATACCCTTCCTCTTGTACACTACACGTTATTCCTACCCAAGTCCAAACACAGTGAAAGCAAGCAAGGGAAATTAACTTATTTTTGGGGGGGTTAATTTTTTTCTCTTTGAATTTGCTCTCTCTCATCTCCCACTTCTCCCTGATTTTGTTGCTTTAGCACTGTACATTATTGGTTAGAGCAAACCAGAGAAACACTTGACAAAAAAACCCACCCGCATGTACCCCTTACAAACGCACTTATTTTTCGCTAACGATGCCAGGAAGGGCAAAGGGTTTTTTTGCCAACTCACCAATCCCCACCATTCTGCTGAAAAATGTAATTAAAAAATGTATCATTTCCAGTGGATTTATCTCAAAGGGACAGGAATTAATGCACTGAGGATAGCTGTTTATTTTAAACACAAAATTCTGCAAGATTGCTGGCGGGGTGGTGCTGTTCTATTGGCTTGGATTGGTTTTGTGTTTTGACATTGCGGGAGGAGGGGATTGTTCATTTGTTTGTTATTTAAATAGGCTGTTAGTGACATAATGCTTATCTTTCCCCTTACCCACCAGGTTAGCTTTCTACACAGAGATGACTATCAGGCTGACTGAACATAATTTCTCCTTCATAAATCAAAGCTGACTATTGCCCATCACCTTCTTCTCCTTGACATGTTTGGAAGCTGCTCTGGGACTGTTCTTTTTGTCTCATCTTCCCAGTATCTGGGATGTGGCTAACCAAACTGTACTTCCCCTGATCCTCCTTTTGGAATTTAGGATGTGACGTTTGCTTTCTTCTACTCCTCAGGAACCCTTCCTGATCCCCATGAACTTCCACGGATGATTGAGCAGCCTCACGATGACATCAGCCACCTCCACCAGCACTCGTGGATACATCCCACCTGGTCCCATGAACTTGGGTGTGTCTAGTTTGTTCGAAGGTTCTCTAACTTGACCCTCCTCTACTGAGGGTAAGTTGTCGTTGCTCTGGAATTTCCCATGGGTGTCAGGAAAAGCAAAAAAGTACGAAGTACCCTGGCCTTCTCTCTGTCTTGTGCCACCAGGGCCACTCCTCATTTAACACCAGGCCCACATTTTCTCTGTTCTTTCTTTCGCTGCTAACATACCTGCTGAAGCTCTTCTTGTTGCCCTGTGTGCCCCCCATCAGATTCAAATCCAGACAGGCTTTAACTTTCCTACCCCCATCAATGCATGCTTGGACAGTCTCTCTGTCTTCCTCACAGGTCAACAAATCCCGCTTATAATCTCTTGCAGATTCCTTTTTCTGTCATGAGTTTAGTCAAGAGCTCCCTGGTCATCCACACAGATCTTCTGTCACCTTTGCACAACCTCCTGCACATAGGAACGACCATTCTTGAGATTGAAAGAGGTGATCCTCGAACAAAAAAGTAATCAACTAGTTCTCTGGGACCCCTCTTCTCTCCATCCCATAGAATGGAATCCTACAGAATTCTTCCAAGATCCCTGAAAAGACCAAACTGTTCTCCAGAGTTGTGATCCTGTTCTTTGCCTTGTTTCTTCTCTCAGGATCTTGATGGTTTCCGGAATCTAATTTTTCTATGCTAATTCTAAGAAATATTTTCAAGCCTGTGTAAATTAAATCAGGTTTACCTTAAGTAGCTTACTGGGCAAAGTATTGATTCTATTTAGGTGTCAGTTACATACACAAAAGAGATTGTTTCCAGAATATTCTGCTACAAATTGAGATCATTCTATAGAAGTCTAGAGGCTATCTCAGAAAGAGACTTACAAAGCTCGTAGAATTCACTCCAGGAATTTTTTTAAGACTTTCTCTACACTTGCAACAGAAAACACTACCTGAAATGGCATAGTCTCCATTTGGCGATGCTACAGTTATCGCTGATGCGTTGCCAATGCTCTCCACAGGCCCCAGACCAACGTGGTTACTGAAACTCAGCACGTGCCATCCCATAACTTTTGCAAGCTGCTGAACTGCATGTACTTGGTGCTGTGACATCTGAAAGGGAACGAAACATTTGTCCTCAGTTCAATATCTGCACACCATAGGAAGAATTGCTTACTTTTTCTTCTGCTGTCCGGTAGTTATTTATAAAAGTGACTTTGTGTTCTAAGTTCTCTAGTTTCACAGGAATCTTTTTTTGTACCACATCGGCTATATAAGTGCTAACAGAGCTTTGTGTTACTTGAATTTAGACTAGTTCCTTTGCAGACAGAGACCACTGTATTAAGCACACTATGGAGTTAGGTGAATTTTTCATAGGTATACAGGCTTATGAATTTTATTTAAGTAGTGCTTTCAATTCACGAAAAACTTTATTTAGGTCTCAGGAACTAATTCCGAGTGATACAAACAAGATTTTGAAATAGTCCTTTATTTGAACAGAAATGAAACCTCTGCTGTAAAACATATAAAGCCTCTGAGAGTGTTATCATACCAAACTCAGGAAGAAAAAGAAAAAATAGGTAAGGTTCTCAGATGCATGTTAAGGGTCACGTGTAAGCACGGAGCTTTTAACAGCTTAAAAACTTAAGTCTTCATACAGAAAAACAGCCTTTAACACTTGTAACAAGGAAGTATCCAGCACCATTCAGCGTTTCCCTGTGAACAAGTCTGAAAACGACCAAAAAGAGATACCCTCAGCAGAATCTGTTTCAACTTGTTTTCTGTTCTGGAGTTTCGTCTAACTGCAACAGGCCAATCCCTGTTATTAGAGACGTGTGTTTTGACTGTAATGCATAGGAAGAAGACTGTAATTTCTGAATAAAACCAGCAGCTTGCTGTAAGCAATTAAGAAAACCCAGTTCATTCAAATATCAGCTGATTTAGTAATGGCTGATGCAAAGTGAACATTAACAAGACAATGTTGAAATGACAGTAATTGCAGGCTCATTAAGATCTCTACTCTAGACAGGACTTGGTTACAGTAAGTTTCATACATTGAATACCTTTTTGTCTGCTCTGACTCACACTGACTTGTTCTCAAGTAAGCAAAAGTCTCAGTGCTCCCATGAGTAGCAGAAAGAAATGTATTTTAATGAAAGGAAAAAAACTGTTATTACTACTGACCATAGTAAAAACCGGCATTGTATTTTAGTACCAGTTGCTAAAGTCACTGTGCAAACACACTGCAAAATTCAGTCACCTATCTTCTTGTTTTCACTACCTTTATTTGAAGCATTCTAACATTTTTTACATAGCTAAAGATGAGATTCTCACTTCTTATGTTTCCCACACACTACACAGGAGGAAGGAATAATGCATATGAGTCTACCTGAGATAAAAGGAAATCCTGCAGTTCTTGCTCTTGGTGAGACAATGTAATAACTCTTCCATCTCTGTGCACAACTCTGATCTGCTCAACTCCAATGTTCAGCTGTAGTTGAATGGATCTTTGAAGACAAGATGTAAACTTACTCAAAATGCATCACCACAGTCAAGAAAACAGGAAACGAAGAACATGGAATCTTTCCCATTCATTGACAAGAAGTCCCAGATCAGGACATGGAATACAACAGCAACTCCAAACACTTCGGTTTCACTTGTCACAATAGCTCCCTCCGTACGGCGGGGGACGTAGCCCGTTGCATGTTCCCAGACCTGGCCCACTGCTTGTTCAGATCAAGGAACCTCCTGAGGTGCCTCCCAGCTCCCTGCTTGCCACTGTACCCAACCTTCCTCCCAGAGAAAATGGTGTCTACGCGGGGCTCGTTCTACCCTACAGCCAAGACTCGGGCAGCAGATCTACTCTGGAACTGAGACTGCAGATTGCACCAACGACCGCAGTCTGCTCCACGCTGCGGACACAGCCGGAGAGGGCTGCTCAAAAAAGGAAGAAACAACCAGGTCATCCACCATTGGCACGTTACTCAGCTCACCGCTGGTCCGCATGCAGACGTTTGTTTTTGGAACACGAAATCTCTTCTTTTGACGTCAACATCCCTAACTAACAGCATGAATTACATGAGTTCAGTATTTCAGGACCTGTGCAATCAAGCCAGGACTGAGCACTGACTCGCTCTCCACAACCAGACAGGAAGTTTAGAATCCAGCACAGAAAAAGATACTTCATATCCAGCTATCTCTATCAAAATTGTGTTCGGTTTTTGGCACCTCAGGAAGGACACTGAGGTGCCGGAGTGTGCTAACGAAGGGTCTAGAGCACAAGTCTTATGAGGAGAGGCTGAGGGAACTGGGGCTGTTTAGCCTAGAAAAAAAGGCGGCTGAGGGGAGACCTTCTTGCTTTCTAGAACTACCTGAAAAGAGGTTGTAGAGAGGTGGGGATTGGTCTGTTCAACCAAGTAACAAGTGACAGGACAAGAGAAAATGGCCTCAAGTTTTGCCAGAGAAGGTTTAGATTGGATATTAGGAAAAGTTTTTTTACTGAAAGGGTTATTAGGCATTGGAATGGGTTGCTCAGGGCAGTCATGGAGTCTCCATCCCTGGGTAGTTAAGAGTTGTGCAGACATAGTCCTTAGGGACATGATTTAGTTGAGGACTTGTCAGTGTCAGGTTAATGATTAGATGATCTTAAAGGTCTTTTCCAATCTGGGCAATTCTGTGATTTTGTGAAAGCTAAATCCATCCTTAAACGGCCCCTTTTCACTTTCAATTCCTTCTTTCTAAGGAAACTGGTCTAGTTAACAACTTATGAAGTTTCTTCATTAAAGTGTAGAGCGGGTGAAACGTTTTCTTAGGTCGGCTGTTCCCCCCACAACTCAGAAAACAAACACTTGCACACAAGTAGTGGGCTCCTACTCATCTGTCTGCAGAGAATCTAAACAGGTAAAACACAGCTTGAATATACTCCAGCCCTGCTCCATACTTCTACAACTAGAAAGGTACATGCATTTTCATACTTACTTGCAGATCTGTTCGTATCCTTGAGAAGTTATCAGAACTTTAACACTGGATTCATAAACATCATTTATATTGGACCAGTGGGCCTGAATCTGAGGATCCTCAATACGACTGGCCAGGCTGTCAATGGTTCGAGCAGTCCTAGAAGATAAAAGACATATTCCAGGCACAATAACCTAGACAGTTTGTGCTGTGATATTGTTTAAGGGCAATGAGTGGGTTATAAGTTTGTGGGGTTTTTTTGTGGCACACCAAAAAAAGAACTATGTGGATCAAAGTTCTATTTCAACACCATTGTGGTGCTAATGAAGCACATTGGTTTAGCCTGTACATTTCATATACATCCTGCAGCAGCAGTAAAGCGGTATTGCTCAGTATTGGTTACTGTATGCCAAAGAACATTAAAAAAAATTACTTACGCAGTTTAAGAAAACTAGGGACAATTACCAGAGCATACATCAAAACCGACACACAGACCTCGAAGAAGTCTGATTGATTTTATGTTTTTGCTGAGTACTGCTTGCTCATATTTTATGCTACCAGTTCTTAGTACTTAAAAATAAAGATTATCTTAACAGTGAAGGAAGTAGCCAATTTTAAGAACGCTCAGTTGTATTCCACTCAATAGTACATTTCAACTTTAACAAGAACAGCTTGTGACCTACCTGCGTCTCAAAAATATATGTTTTGCCTGCTTTATTATCTTTTCCAGAAGTCCTTCATTTGACTGTAAAGAACTGATATCATTTTTATCAAAAGCCTGGGGTCCTGCCAGTCTCATTCTCTTGTGGCCAAAAGGTGCACTAGCTGGATGTGGCATCACTGTTGAGCTCAGGGTTTGCTTGTGACACTGCAACAAACATGTTATAAAAGGAAGTGGTCAAATAATGTATCTGCAAGAAATAATACGATATATGTACTACATGAGGGTTTTTTTTAGCATATGTAAACTAGTATATAAACTTAACAGCACTTTAAAGCCAGCTTTGCACATGTTTTTGGCCCTTGTTTACGCAGCTCTTTCAAACCTTAAAAGAAGTAATTTTTTTTTAAAAAGTGCTAGCTAAGAAAAATTAGGTAGTATCGCAGGAGCCCCTACTAATAAGACTGCCTTGTATACATCTCTGGAGACAGACAGAATGGTCAGACAAAAATATAGGAGGCATTTTAGATGCAAAAAAAAATGAGGTACAACAAGATTTAGCAACCTGTTCAAAGCCAAGAAAGGGAATTCACAGGGCTGGGCACTGAGCCAAAGCTTCATGAAATCTAGTTCAGTGTTTAAAACATGGGCCTATTCCATACAACTGCATGACCTGCAGAGCTGTGCTCTAAGGAAATGAACACCCTCTGGAACAGTTTCACAACTGCTTAGATGCCTAAAATTGTGCTTCTTTCCTCAACAGCCGCAACCACAGCCTTCTACCCTTGATCCTTCTGCTAGATTATATGAGACTCTAAACCACTGGAGCAGAGTCGTGGATCTCAAAAGAAGCAAAGTTTTTATGGTAATTGATTGTTCTTTCTTCATGGGAATATGGTCTGAACAGATGCTCCCTTATGGTATTTGACAAACACTAATTAGGCACAATGAAAAAAAGAGCAATTGCTGAACTGTACTGGAAAAAACCTTACACGGCTTTGCTGAAGTGAGCACTGAGCCTGAGGTTAAAGTAAAGAACTCGCAGTCCATGAAAGCATTAACTGGAACTTCCCTGACCCCTAACACAGAACAGCCGGTTGCCTGACACAAATGGATAGAAAGAGACTGGCCTCTGGTGGCGCTTTGTTGTTACTACTACATAGAAGATGTATCAAAAGCTCAAAAGCTCTTCAGTACTTGGCCATAAACGCCTTACCTCTCTGATCAGCTGGTGTAAATTATGTTCGAGAACATAGAGATGATCCTCTGGATTCTGTTTTTCCGAGGCAGCCTTCTGCGACTTTTTGTCATTGGAAGAGTGACACAGAGAAATGGACAACTGCAAACCTGTACAAAGGAGATTAAAAAAACCACAAAACCAAAACCAAAACTGAAAACACTGACTTTTTTCAAGGAGGCTACTGAAAACTGCTTTTCTTCACGTTGTATAGTCGGCAGTCTTACAACCAGTATTCATCGCATCAGAGAAAAATCAAAGAATGATGATGGAGAGCTACTCACCAAAGTGCTGACAGGCCAACTAACTCATCAGGTGCTTTTCACAGCAATTTCTATGACTCAATCCTCCACAAAAAGAAAAAGTTCCCCAGGACTCCACTCCTTCCCCAAACGAGGAATGAATTACCACCATACGCATTTTAAGCACATGATACAATCAGTTGTGTACCCCTTGTAAGAACAGAGGATTCACCAGCTGACTCTGACATCTTCACGCTGTTTAATTATCCTCACCGAAATATATGAACCTGCATTCTTCTGAAGACCCAGGAACCCAAAGTCTCAACTTTCACTTGTGTGCAAGCCAGGAGCAATGACTTACGCACAGCCCCACGCTGCCACGTGCATGTGACATTACATTTGACAGCTTTAAGTCCTACTGACAAAAACCACAAAGGAAAACAATGCAAAAATCCACACAATAAAATATGAGTAAATCAGAAACTAAAGTGCACTAACTAAATGTTTTTTGTAATTAGCAAGCAAAATCTAAATTTTGGGAAATTCTGTTTTCAAAACCTTTGAACAAGACGACTATTAGTTTGTTGTTTTTTTGCTAAGGAACAGAGCATTAAAAAAGGTCATAGCAATTAGAATTTCAGTTCATGTTTAAGAAAATAATCATAGAACAAGAAGTCTTAAAAAGTCTCCTACCTGGGAAAGGCTGGGAGATTATCTGATTTTTCACAACAATGTGAGGAATTTGTGATTTAATTTGAACAGCTTCTCGTGACAGCTGGGCAAAAATTTCTTTGCATAAAAGAACATTCTGTGCAGTCTCCAGCTTTGTCTGCCAACCTGAAAAATAACAAACCAACGTTCGCAGAAGAAACACGTAAAGAGAAGCTAAGCTGTCTTTTTGTTCCGATACCACATACTGTGCAGCTGCTGTGATAAGGTAGTCGGTATTTTCTATCCAAATTATTTTCAGAATTTTCCCTCTCTTAAGTAAGCACTTTAAGATAACACTAATGCATTTTACCCTGGTTTTACATATAAGTGTACTGTGAACTGCAAATACCCTCCAGGAGGCAACTGCCTACTCCATTCCCAGGCCTTTACTTATGAACCTCTGCTTCTTAAGTTGCGATTTGCTTTCAGCAACACTTGTAGCTTTATGAAAATCACTCTACAATGAGCTGCCAAATACTGCTAAAATTCCTGTGTGTGCTTTCACAGGATTTATAGGCCCTAAAATTCTTGGAAGATACCGGCCTGAGCAAGCACACAAGCTCAATGTCGTACCCTGAATACCACATGAAACATCACCATAATACAGCACCCTGTCTGCGTCCAAGACAGCCCAAGCATCTGTGTCACAGACCACAGGGAAATAAAATCCTGCCAGTTCTTTTTAATTCTAAAGAGTAAAGGATGAATTTTCAGTCTGCAAGGTTTGCAGCTTCACATACTGGCACGGATCAAATGAATCAATCTGCTACGGGCCAGGTGAGCTGTTGGTAGTTAAAGCACATAGTCCCAGCACAGCTTCAGGGACAGATAAAACACACGAGCCACAGAAACAAATGATGCATTTTGGGCAAAATTAAAGAGTGAAGGGGCAGTTGTTCAGTTCAGTTGAACTGGCTGAAACAAAACACCTTGGTTTGCACTTGGTTACGTGCTCAAGCTTTTTCATGACTAACAAAAGGTGCTCTGGAATGCTTACAATACAATCCTAGCAATTTTGTTTCAGAAACATAAATATACATGAAAAACTGACAGACTATGCTTTGAAAGTATCAGATTTCCAAAGGTCAGGGAGCATCTAAATGAAAAATTTCAGTTTAAATATGAATACTCTTGTTCACTCTTCTTTCAAGCTATATGCTCAAATTTTCATATAAACATCATATGTAAACCCATTTCTTGAGAACATGTGCAAAAATCAGCATATACCTGGTTTTGATTTTGGCATGGGTCTTTTAAAGAGATTGACTGTCCCAAGGTCACCAATGTCTGGAGCTTGTTTCTGAATAGAAACCTGGGTTAAAGAGAACATTATTTCATGTTTGTTCCTTGTTGCAAGCGTACAAACACCAAAATAAAACCCATACTCAAAGATTAAAGTTTCTCTGGCAAACCTTGATATAGGCCGATCCCTCTAAATCACTTGGAATTTGAACATCCAAAGGACAGTAATCCTCAGGGATCTTTTTATCCAGATCAATGTCTGTGTTCTTTATCACTTCAAATGTGCCATGATGAAGAAAAAGGGAACCTAAGAAAGGAAGGACAAAGACATATGTACTATATATAGAACATCTTCTACAAATAATGAAGCTCATTAACTCTGTTTTGGAAGAATATGTATTTTTAAATCTATGTGTTACACTTTACAGTAATTTACTAAGTAACAATAATTATCGGAAAAAACCACAAGAGTATTTCAAAATGTTGTCAGTAGATGCAAGGAAGGAGAAAAATAAAGGTATTTGGTTAAAACAAGACAAAAAGTCAACTGTCTGAAGTTTTGCAAGGAAGTAGTTAAAGATGCAAGATTTGAAGGAATCTTTGTAGGAATTTGAAGGAAGATGTGAAGGCGCAAAACCAGCGATGGTTTGCTTGCAGTCTTAAAACTACAACAATGTTCTGTCTGTAAAAAACAACTGTAGAGCAAATCATTCAGGTGGGACCAATAAAAGCAGATGCCCATGTCTGTCCTAGCTGCATCCCTTTTAAATGCAGGGCACAGCCCATCTAGTTTAGGATAACTAAACTAAGACACATCCTGCATTACATCTACCACTCCCTCATGACCACAAAGCAAACAGCCCTAAATTTGTCCTCACTCTCCTTCACCGACGACAGCAGGAGCTCCAACATAACTGGTTCAGACGCCTGCTTTGTATCTGCATCGTAGGTTTTGTGAGATCCTGTGTTCACTCTTTCACTCCGTTAGAACTCTGGGCTGGTTACCCCCTCTAACTGTAATCCCTGAATTAATGCATGGCTTTAGTTCCATTCTCACAAGTGTAGGAATAATAGATACAACAAATCTATCTTTGATGAGGCTCTTTTAGTTTTAGACAGTCCTCCAAGGAGCGTGGAGTTAGATGTGGTGATCCTTGGGAGTCCCTTCCAACTTGAAACATTCTACGAACTTCGCTCAGAGGAAAATGCAACATACGCTCTTTTTTTTTTTTTAAAAATGCTTTACAGACCAAATACAGATAAAAGCCAAAGTTTTACCTGTCAACACAACAACTACACTGCCAACACAGAACTGTTTTCATAACGTAACCTTTACTAGAATCTTACACAGTTGCCTTTAGAATCACTTTCTAGGTTGAGGAGCACATGGTATTTTTCCTGATAATAAAACAGGTTTCCTGCTTTCATAACCTTGTCTTGTAATGGCAATAAACTTTTATTAATTATATTATGAATTGTTAGATATATTCCATCTGGTTTTCCAGTTACAAAAAAGAAATATTCATAAAACACTGTGAAGGGTTAGGGCTGGACTCTCCAGAAATGATAGATGTTCTCCAATAACCTGTCTTCCTCCCCAAAGAGGAAAGGAAAGGGGATAAGACCAAGAGATTTACAGATTGGAAAAGAAAACTGAAACAGCACCAATTAGCAATAGTAGAACTGATAAGGAAATAATAAAAATAATGAAATATGTACAAAATCGATATTAAACCAAAATCCCGCCTCCCCAGTAGCAATCCCCACTGATGCTGCAGAGCAGGTGGCACTGGGGAAGCCCCAGGTGCAGCAGCAGATGGGAACTGGACACAGGAGCTGGATTTGGGAACTCAGGATCAGGATCAAAGGCAGAAGATCAGATGAAGATCTCCTCAGAGACCAGCTGCTGAAGAAGTAACTTAGCCCTCAGCTTTATACTGCATATGACGTATATGGAGTGGAAAGGAATACTCTTGTTGGGTCGGGTTTGGGCCACCTGCCCTGTCTGTTCCTCACCAGAGGTGTGATCTTTTTACTTCCTTGTGAGCCCTTTAATTCTCACCACCTCCAGTGTTTTACACAAGACCCAGCAGTGACCTTGGTGACTACAGGAGCAAGTATAACAAGAGCCTTTCTGCATCCCAATCCCTGGCAATAGCTGTAAACATCAGGTGTTATCACTTCTAGGAGCAGACACTGTCTGCAAAAACATGCTGCTGACTTCAGAAAGTGCTGCCTCTTAGAAGAGACTGAGCTGAAAAGTAAAATCACTGAACAGAATTGGTTCTGTTTTAGCTCAAACCAAGACAAATGTAAGTGTCCATTCTTGAGAAAAACCAAAACCCCTGCTGTTTACCTGCACTTCTGTAGCTCAGATCACCAAGAATTTTGTCTCCCACTTTTCTCAGTTTCCAGTGTTGTCTCAGTCTTAGCAGTTCAGAGTTGAAGTCTCTTTGTCGCTTATTTTCCTGGTTTTCTGCAACCGATTTGGATAATCTCTCTGCACCTTTCAACAGGATTTGAGCTGCTCCAGCTAATGACTTCTTTTTTGAAATCAACTGAAGAAACTGAGGATTCTAGTAACAAATAAAGAGAGAAATTTTGTGTATCTCAATCCTCCAAAAACTGAACTGACAGTGAGTGATAACTTAGGTTTCAGTAATTATTCAGAGTAACTTTCCTAACAGCATTATAAGGCAAAAGTAGCACTTTGACTTACACCTTCAGTAGATGCATTTAAGTCAGCCTCACCTGCCATTCTCAGCCTTCCCTTGATCTACAAAGCACTGTCTCAGCACATCACAAGGAACATTTCACTAAATCTTTTACGTACTGTAGGTTAAAACTTCCAGTGAAATAAAATCTTCACAGACAAGCCATAAGAACAGCACAACTAATTACAACATACCTGTTTTGGAGGAAGGGGATCCTGCACAACTGGGTCTAAAGTCATGAACTTTTTATCCTTGACAATACTAAGAACATCGTAGAGCACACACATCTCAGTCAGGGCGCTCCTCAGGTTGTTCCTCACTGAATCCCATGGCCACAGGGACGGCTGAAACTTCACTAGCCCTAAAAAGAGAAGGGAAACAAAGGATCGTGAAGAGATACGGGGCAGCGCTCATTCCTTACCCACAGGGAGATGGTAACAGCACAAAACGTGACGCTGTCGTGTGACGCCGGGATCCTTCCCGCTCCACCACAGCAATTCGCGGGGACTCGCTCCCGAATACCGCGACTGGCGGCGGGAGGGCAGGAGGGCCAGGCCTCCCTGGGCCGCTGCCCGGCGAGGGCGCTC